TTTGGTAAAGGACCGCATGCGTCAAAGTTAATTTTTGAAAATACTTCTGGAATAATTGGTACTAAAGTCAAAGGTGCTTTGGCTTTATCATTAGATTTTCCCACTCTTTGACATGGATCGCGAGTTTTAACATACTCTTCTATTTCTTTATAGCAATTAGGCCAGTAAAAGTATCTTGTTAATCTATCTTTAGTTTTGACGATGCCTCAGATGTGCTATCATGACATAATGACTTTATTTGATCCCTATATTTTTCAGGAATAACAATTAATTCCCTTTCATTTCCATTTTTATCTATTTATCTCTTCACCAACAATCCGTTTTCTTTTACTTTGAAATCATTTGTCTTGCTGGAATTTTCATTTTTAGCTTTGTTAAGCAGTGACGCTAGATCTCTGCTTTGATGCTGAGATTCAATTAATTCCTTCGAATTAACGTTAATCACTTTCTTAAGTTCCTTGTCTTCCTCATCAGCTTGAGGTAAAATATCTTCGTCAGTCCTAGTTTCTCCGTGTCAATTTCTCTGCTTCGATCTTCTTCATGAGATCTTTTTACTTGAGATCGTGTCAAAACCGTTTTTATTTTTTTCTAAATTTAAGAATGATTTATTTTTGAACAATAGTGCAGTTTTGTTACTCAATACATATCTTCCGGGATCATTGTAACAACAATTTTGACTTCCGCTAACGGTAGACACACTAAATGGTCATTTAAAAGATATTGTACCCAGACATGTTCTCCAGTCATTTTTGCGTTATCAATGTATTTTCGAGAAATAACATCAACAGTGGCTCCTGTGTCTCGAAGAATAAGCATTTCATACCCATTCACCAAACCGTTAATTGTATATGTCTCTAACAAATCATCATTCGAAGATACGCAATTTACCTTTTCATTAGGTTTTAAGCGAGGACACTGAGGCTTAAAATGTTCGTATGATCTACACTCGAAACAACGTGGTCGATATCTTTTGTCATATAAATTTTCTTGGTTCTTGTTTTGAAATTGACTTCTTTGTCGGTGATCTTTCTGGTATTTTGAATCATCCCATTTATCAGAATGCTTAAAATGAGGCGGATGCTCTATTTTTTTCACAAAATTATCATAACGCGGTATAAATGATCCTTTGTTAATTTTCTCAGTCTGATTGGCAGAAAATTTCGGTTTTATTGTTTTTCTCACATCTTCAAAATCTTCAATTTTCTTAACCATTTCAGTAGGTGAAATGATGGTTGTCCATTGATCCATAAAATGTTGTTTGAAATCAGGAGAAGTACACTTTTTAATTTGATCAACCAGCTTGAGATCTTCTAGCTGTTCAAAAGTTTTAATGTTTAATCCGTTAAGCCATCCTTCTAAATAATTCTTCAATTCATAGTAGAAATCATACCAAGTACTTTCAGTAGATTTTTGGTGTTTATTAAATAGTTGTCGAAATTTTTTCGCACTTGTTTTAAATCATCGTAACAGTAAAGTTTTTACATATTCATGGTATTTTTTTGCGGCCTTTCCTGGTTCTCTAGCAATAAGCTGAACAATATCAGGAGGCAGCAATGAAAAGTTGAGTCACTTGATTTTCAGCACGTATATTCATTAATTTTAGCTCGACAGCTCAAATAACACCAGAAATAAACTTTATTTCATCTACTTTAGGGTTGAAACGTGGCAGACATCGTGACATTCGTGATTTTTCAAGGATGCTCAGGATAACTGCATAATTTCTACTGGCTGTGCTGTTACAGCCATTACTTCCAACTGAAGTTTCTGTAGCTCAAAGGCTCTAATTCGCTCTTCTCTTTTGACGCTTCTTCCTTTTTTTCCTCTTTCATTTTCTTTCGCGTTCCTATTTCTCTTTCGTTCTCTTTCACATTCTCTTTCTCTTTCTTCTCTTTCACGTTCTTTTTCTCTTTCCTCCCTTTTGCGTTCTCTTTCTTATCCTTCGCGTTCTTGCTTTCTCTTTCTCTTTCGCATTTTCCACATCTTTTCTTTCCCTTTCTTCTCTAATTGCAGCCAGTAGTTCTCGAGTAAACTCCCCATCATAAGCGGGACTTTCAGTAATCAGTTTATGTAACTGAGCAATCTTAAATTCAGGTGTCACAGTTAAACATAACTCTTCTGCTAGTACTTTTAAACCCTGTTTTTTACTCCTAGCTAAGAATGACATGTTGACACAAGTTACCTTTTTATTAGGCTTCCTTTTGAAATTGAATCTAAAAGATCGTACTTGTACTAAAAATGTATAATTTCTGGCGAGACTTAATTTTTCAAATACGAAATTCAGACCAACCAATTGGAGAGAATTATTTAAACAACTTTGCCAGGTTGGCACAAAATACTATAATACTACGTAGGGTTGACGTTTTAACTCACTATTTACAAGCTTCGTTAGCTATAACTATATAAACACCTTTGCCAATACAACCCACGTCTGCTTGACGATTTTTCTATCTTTCTCCGTGCATAGTTGGCGATAACAAAAACAATTTTTGCCAGTTTAGCAATACAACTTTTAGAATATACAATCTGTAATATGTCTGGATGACGTTACTATCTATCACACACCTGGATGGCGAGAACTAAGAAAAGACTTTTGCAAATTCTGTGGTATAATCAAATCGCACTACGTCAGTTTGACGTTGCTCCACACGCCTGCTTGGCAACAAATTCAAAACTCGGCTAGCAGTTCTTTTTTTTTTTTTTTTTTTTTTTTTTTTTTAAGTAAATGCCGGGATGGCTTACGCATATCAATTGTCAACATAAATATTCAATACAAATAAAAGTAAAGCATAAATAATAATTTTAAAATACTTCTTTACCACAAATATCAATTATAAATTTAAGCTGAATATTTTTAGTGTCAGTTATTTTAAACAAAATCTTACACGATATAACTATAATTCTGAAAAAAATGTATTAAAATTCAATTAAAGCATTTTTAAGAAAACCAAAAGTTAATCTTATCTTCAGAGATCATTAATATCCTGTTCTGTCAATTCTTTGCTGCAACACAAGTTATTGAAATACAGAAGGTAACTTTTGAATGATCCGCTTCAAAATCTGGCTTAAAAACTGCAGACTTCAGAAATCGGTTTCTCCGTTAAATGAACAAACTCGGCAATTGATACTAGGAAACTTGTTCTCAAAATTTCAGTAACTTCCTGGGATTAGGAGACCAGCACCATCGAAATTGATAATTGCACTCCTAATTTCCAGTATCTCGGTGGAACCTCCAATTAATTAAGACTAATGTATTTTGCAGTAATTGACAAAACAGGCATTCTTATTAGAACATAAATTTTATTTCTAGTTCACGGAGATAGATAATTTGAAGAAATTCTTTAGTGACAAAACTTTCTTACTACTACTAGCTGGTAAAAACTTCAGAATCTAATTTTTAAAACAATTTCTCACGTTGCTGAGCAACAGTTACATAGTACAAATATGGCATTGCCACTTCAACAATAAATGAATTAAATAATAAATAAATTTATTAAATAACACAATATTACAGTGCCTTCATGGTGTAGTGGCTCTGCACGGTGGGCCGGTATTCTAGAGGCCCCGTGGCTCGGTCCTGCTGAAGGCGTTGTTAATTTTTCATCTTTCCTGCTTCCAAAAAATACCTAATGTCTCTACAGTGGCACCCAAACTAAAAAGGTGGTGGATGATGATTCTCCCCACTCAGGATTTGGTGATTGGGTCCCTTAAAATCCCCAGTTGTCCTTTAAAAGGGTGAGTATATAAGCTATTCCCCCGCCTTTGTGGTGTAGTGGTTTAGCATGCTGGGCCGGTATTCCAGATGTCTGTGGTTTGATTCCCGCCGAAGCCGTTGTTAATTTTTCATCTCTCCTGCTTCCAAAAAATACTTATGTCTCTACAAAAACTTACTCATTATTTATTTTGGATTTCTATTTTTTATTTATTAGTCCAAAGGGGCTTTGTCCCTGCAGGACTGTTGTTTTCATTTTGCGTTGAATCACTATAAATGTCCTTTTCACTTTTCAAACTGTTGCCACCAAATGTTAGAGTCCTGCATTATATTTGAAGAAATTAAATAATGAAAAATCTGCATAAATGTATGTATATTTCTTGCATTGTGATAAACAACAGTACATAGAGCCATTAGGCACTGTCTAATGGCTCTATATACACTGAATTTTGAATGACTTAATCCTACTGTGAATATTGGCATGCGGAAGCCCAAATTTGAAATTTATAATTTGTTTTATTATTGATTTCATATTTTGTTAAACTTTAACAAGTTTTTGATTAAAAAACTGAAGGGTTTCAAAGTGAGCAAATGCAACGTTGTACAGAAAAAACATTTTTATCTCCAGCGCGTAAGACTCTGTATCGGAAATTCTAAAGATATACTCAATTTAAAACTATTTTGCGATATTGCTCTTGAACTGAATTTTATGGTTTAAGTGCAAAGAACATGATATTTAATAAATAAAGGTAACCAACAAAATGTTAAAAAAAGCCCCTTTGAATGTAATTTAAAATCTGAAACCTTTCAGATTTTCTTCTTTATTAAATTTAAAAATGGAAATTAATTTTCATTGACAGGATTATTTTGTCTCAAAGTTCCACCACTAAGCATCGAAAATGTCTAAACTAAATTTTAGAGGACTAAAACTTAACACTTACTTAAAAACAGCTGTACTGTTATATTAGGTATAGCATCAAGTGTAGTACTTCGAATTTATATTCGAGGGTATGTTTATATACTAATGCTATATTCTTACATATTGATTTTTTAAAATTTGAAATGAAATTTCATATCTTATTTCACAAAGTGTATAATAATATTACAATAAGTCTTAAAATTTAAGCATATCTGTAGTTACAGTAGTGTATCTCGAGCATAAATTTCTAAGAGTTTTGTACATTCATTAACATATAAAAGAAACTTAGTGTGTGTTGATTAAAAGTTTTTAAATCTTGTTAAATATACCTGTGAGGAAATATTTTTGCTTAATGTGTTATCTTTTCCATAGCTGATTCAACAGTGCCTAAAACTGATTCAAAACAGAATGATGTAGCAGCTCTTCCTGAATGTGCTGAAGTAAAATCACAAAGTAACAGAAATAGTGGTAGATATTCCAAAATTTTTGATGATGCATCTGTGAACATAAAAGCTGATCAAGGACTTGATGAATTAAAAATTTCTAAAAGAAGTGATCCGTCATTTTCCAGTGGTGGTGCATGTTCTCAAGCTTGCACAACTTTACCTCCGACTGAGGAGAAAAACATCTGTTTAGTTCTGGACAATGGTATTTATAGCACCTCTTATTTGAACTCGAGCAAATCATCATTTACTACCTATTCAAGGCTTGCTCAAGCAGAAGCTCAGGCAGCCCAACATTTGCCTGCTTCAACTTCAAGCGCTGGAGATCAAATAAAAAAACGCAAAGCAAATCGCCAAAAAACTGAATTTCTTTCTAATAAAGGTAAGCTTCATTTATATGAGCTTTTTTTTTTTTTTTTTTTTTTTTTTTAGTGTATGAATTTGAATACATTTTACGAGTTGTGTTAATCTATTACGTATTTGGTCACTCCAGTTATTGAATGGATAATACTTTACAATAAATATTCAGTCAAATAATCAAACTGTATTTGAAATTTATAGTGCATTATATTTATTATTAAAATAAATGAGATGTTCTCAAATCTATCGGACATCTATGCCTTTGAAAGAGATGTTATTCCAGTATGTGTTGCACGTTACAGGTATTCACTGACAGAACAGTATTTGAACAATAAAATGTAAAGCCTTGAAAATCTTAATTATACTCTTTTGATTTGATGCTGAGAGGATTGATGTTTTCAACATGTGGGATTTAATAGCAACTAGTATATAAAAGTTTTCGGTTAAGTCTCTGAACATAAGTAATCTCTAGATATACACTTCAACAGCTAGCTGTGCCATGGTTTAATTCTCAACACACATAAAGGGTAGAAATCTATTCCACTCATTTTGTTAGCAGAAAATACAAAAATTTACTGGTACACTGTAATTAACTGGTCTCTACCTTTCAGAGGCAAGGGAACATGGCTAAAAGTTCATTTGCTTGAGTGTGATTATTATTTCCGTGACTGGGAAATAGACTATCGTTAAATATGTGTTGATATTGTAGATTGAAGTGCACAGCTGCAGTGATAAATCCAAGATCTCTTATTAAATTTTGAAGCTGCAAACACTTGCCCCCCATTTGGATTATGAAAGCAACTCTGAATTGTGTAATTTTAGAGAAATGAGACAGTGCCTAATTTTCTGAAAAAGTTTTGCATTAGAAAAGATGCCACAAAAAAGAATGGCTATGAATTTTCGTAAACTAAAAATGGAAATAAGTATGAGTGGCGTTCTGTCCCATTTTTTAAAGTTTACAAGAAAAAAGTCACTGACTTTTGTAACTTATGCATAAATATAGATCAAATCTCAGAATGAAGTAGCCCTTATCTAAAGACAACTACAGTCACTTGTGCAAAAAACTGTACCTGTGGCGATTACCTATACCTGTGGTGTCAATTTTGCAACAAATAAAAAATAGTTATCAGTGATCTAGGCTAACCATTTAATATAATTATATTCACTAAAATATCATTGATTATTCCAATTCAATTTTTTTAAAGTAAATTATCTTTTTGTTATTCATATCATTTAATGTTGCTTCTTCCCTCTAAATTTATTTATTATTAGTAAATAATACTTCCAAATTTCAGGAAATTTTCTCTTGCATAATCCTGAAATTAATTCTAGCAGTATGATGACATACCATCACAAAATTTAATGCACATATTTTTTGCTTATGTATGCTGCTAAATAAATATAAAATACCTGAATTTATTTAAAAATATTATTAAATAGATTTCTTTCTTTCGTTTAGCTGCAAAAAAAGACATTTTTAATCCAGATTGGGCAGATTCTAATCTCAATCTTCAGTGGAAAACAACTATTATGGTTATAATAGTGTTTTCAAGTAATACCATAATTAATTTTACCTCTTAGCACAACAGCCAACATGCATTACGCTGATAGACTGGAATTTTCTTAAAACACACCTGAAAAAGTTAGGGAATTTCATTCTCCTGTTTTAGCGGCAACCCTGGTAGGTAGATCAGAATGTTTCCAGATTCGCATTAAAAATTTATTTGGCTATAAATTCTCTATCAGATATGTAGTGCCAATAAAATAGGGGAAAATGTAAAACTTTTGTTAGAGAAAGTGTGTTTATTGAATGAAGTGATATGTTGGTTCTGAAATGTTTCATTTGGATCATTTGTATACTGATTCATCTCCTTCCTAATTTATAGTGAAAGAATGGGTAAAACGATTTCATATGGGCTGAAAAACCATGGAACATTTTTCTTTTAAAGATTGACCATTTTGAGTATTGACACTAGAAAATATGGTGTCCGTCAAAAAGGTCGCGGAGAAAACAACACAAGGCGAAAATGTCGTGGTACAAAACATCGTGGAAGAAATAAAACAAACAATGTGGTGCAAAATATCATGGTCAAAAACTTCGCAGTTTAAAAACATTGTATTCGAAAATATCGTCGTAAAAAATAAAGTACTTGCAAATCATCGCATGACAATAACATTGCACTCGTGCGTTTTTCAGGTTTTAAAAGCTGTAAATGCATATTTGCATAATAATTTGGGAGCGCAAGAAAGAAAGAGGCATATTTTTACTTCTGTATTTCATATTTTAGAATGAAATATTAAATTTTTATTGGAAAAGTAAGAAGGAAACTTAAGTATTTAAAAATTGAAAATTAGTAGAAAATTAATGCAACTTATAGCACTTAAAAAAATTTTAAATTCACATAGTTAATTAGCAAAGGTCATTAATAAATTAATGTTTTTTTATAAAGTTTTACTGTTAATTTTTCATGAAACTTGCAGTCTAAAAATGTTCACGAAAAGTAACTTCATGAGGTTGTTAATCTCTATAAAAATTGCTTAGTTACTTGTCAGATTATTTTCTTTCACATTTGTTAATCTGATATTGATTTAGTGAAAATTATATTGTTTTGTTTCCGTTTATTCTTAAACATTTTCACGTATAGCGTGAAATCAATTATTTGGATGTTGATATCTTAGTTATAATGAAAGTCAGTTATGTAATATGTCAGTATGGGATTTGAATTTATTAGATTATGTCAAAATGCACTAGGGCTATCTGCTGAAGAGGAGGGATGCATTTGTAGTGTACGTTTTCAGGAACTGGCACATATTCATGTTATACATTAGGAAAATTGTGAAAATCTCATGCAACCAGCTCGTAAACCTGATCGAAATACCAGTGCTCAATGACTTTACTGCCCGGGCACTCATTTTCAATTTATAAGTACTTAAGTTTCCATCTTACTCTTTCAATAAAAATTTATTAGTTCATTTAAAAATATGAAATATAGAAGTAAAAATATCCCTCTTTCCTTCTTGCGCTCCCAAATTATTATGAGAATATGCATTTTCAGATTTTAAAATCTGAAAAATGCATGTGTATGAAGTTATTGTCGTGTGATGATTTGTGGGTACTTTATTTTTTGCCATGATAATTTCGATGACTGTTTTTGCACTGCTTTATATTTGCCCACAGTATTTTGTACCACAATGTTTTATCTTTGCTTTTTATTTTCTCCCATGATATTTTGTACCATGATGTTTTTGCCTTGAGTTGTTTGTTTTCTTTGTTTCTTCAATATTTCCTTCCATGATGTTCTCAGCAGTAACCAAAAATATTGCTTATATCCAGGAGGAGATACTGAATAAGACAATATTAAAAATCAAGATGCAGCAAGATAGGATCTATCTAAAACAACTATTTTATTTATTCTATATGAACAAATTTTTGTTTGGGTGCCCTGACTTTCATAAATCCAAAAGCAGCAGTGTTAGTGCAGTTTGAGAAACCAGAGTGTGGCTTGGCTATCCGTATTACAACCCATTTAGCTGCACGAGTTTGTCATTTCCCTGTACTGACAGTTGACCTTTGCGGAAGGAGCTTTAATGATGATGGTGTGAAAAGAACTGTTATAGAACATCTTGAATACAGACTTTAAGGTTACTTCTTTTAGTGTTGTTAAATGATGGGAAGTGTGTATCAAGGTACAAGATCATATTGAAAAGTAAAATATTAAAATTTTCTCTCTTAGAAGAATATCAGGCTAGCAACTTTTGAAACTATGTACACAAATATTTTTATAGCAATTTCAAAAGAGTCTGTGGCATGAGTTTGCCAGTGAAGATTTTCAGAAGTGATTTAGATACTTCTGCTAATGCTCCATCCACTTTTGAAGGGGGCTGCATTTAGAATGACTTAATTTTACCAGTTTGACAAAACACGATAGTACTGCAAGTTTTTGAAGTCAGTACATATACTTGCTTTTAGTTTATATTTCAGAAAATTGCATGAGTTTTCTATGTTCTTGTATCCAGAAAGAGTGTAAACACTAAATTCTTTTCTGTCCTGAACTTCACTTTACGGGAAATGTAATGTTGCTTGTCTCAAATCTTTTGTCCGGTAATTTGAATCTCTGGCAGAAATTTTAAGAGGCTAAATATCAATAATATTTTAAATGGAATTTAGGCATTTGTTTGCATCAATATTAACCCTCTGAGTGGCGGCATGGCCTTTTCAATCTGCATATGAAGACCCTTTATTTAAACAACATATGTGAGCTAAACTTGTGTAATTACTTATTTCAGTCTCTGTTTTCACAAACTTCCATTCATTAAGGTATATTTACAGCATTAATAAAAGTAAGAAAGCAGAATATTTTAAATAATAATCCGATATATACCAAGTGACAAAAAAAAAGATCATCTCATGACGGGATAAAGGCAGTTATACCATTTGTGGTTAATCTTATCCATAGTCAAGTATACGACATCACTGTACATGCCCAACTTAATTCCTTGGTGCAGTATAATGAATTTATTTAATGCATTCAGTATTATAATGTAAACAGCAGACACTTTCCTAAAGAAGTCTTTTAAGAATGAAAGGCATTTAGTTTTAAAGCAATAACTAGTGGATATATGTAAACTTCTATAATTTCTGTTTTTGATAAAATGTGAGTGTTTTTTTTTTTTTTTTCCCCCTTCCTTTAAATTATCTGTCATAGTGTTGTAATACAAACTGCATCTTTCTTCAGAAGGGAGGGCATTTTCCCAAAAAGTCCACCGATTTATGTACCATTACTGTAATTTAATACAGGCAGCCCTTACTATAATGAAATCTCAAATATAACAGAGACCTTTTGGTCCCATCCACCTTTTAATTGACTTAATTTTATTTTATATTGTTATAGCAAACTTCCAAGCTTATGAGAAATTGGATATAACAAACTGTATGACTATTTTCAATTGGGGGGGAAAAAATCAGAATTTCTGCAAAATTTAAAAAATAAATAAATAAAAATTACTAACCATTAAAGTTATTCACACTTAGGGTATTAGGATCTACATTCTGTTCATAAGGTATACATCTTCACTCAGCACTAGGTGATCAATCACCACAATGACTTCTAGATTATTTTCCCTTTCCCTCCACTTCTATGTGTTTTAAACAGAGGTGGTGCAAGACAGGCATGGTATCCAAATCTAACAGAACGAGGATACAACTGGCATATTCTAAAACACAATATGGTTTAGAGGACCATTGAACAAAATAATACGAATGGGTTCTGTGATCCATTCAAATTCTTTGATTGAGCTGCCAAACAGAGCTGTGTTCAGGGCTGACACTATGCTATTTGAGGAAAGAGTAAACCTTACTGGTACCATATAAAAAAAATCTAAAATTGATTCATTTCTACCTGTGGCAAAAATGTGAATATGAGAAAAAATTAAAAAAAGAAGGAACGTAAGGTTATTGAAGAAGTATTGCTGAAATGATTTGCTTTGTGCATCTGTTAATGTGCCAATATTTGAGCAGATGTTTCAGATAATGGGCAATGAATATGTCAGATGCTTTGGAAGGAATGCAAAAAAAGAACACAAAAGTTTGATATTTGGGGAAAAGAAGTAATTGCTATTAAATCTTAATATGGTTTTTAAAAATTAGATTTATCATTCATTTCTTTTAAAAGATGGAACAGTTTCCCCCCCCCTGCATTCATCATTTAACACATTTTTGTGAAAAAAATTATTTTTTTTCTTACATCAAATGTAGCAATTCAAAGTTCTCATTCCTTGGAGTTTGTTATAGGGGGGGGTGTTGACTGTTTTATGATCTAGTAATAAAAAAGTATGGTTGAGAATTGGAGGATGTTGATGAAAAGTAATTATCTGAGGTCTGTGTTTTCTCTTATTGTGTTGTATTGAAAACCTTAGAAATTTAGGCAGTCTTACTTCCTCTACTGTAATCTGCTACTACCTCTAAATGACTGTTAAAAATTCAGAATACAAAATAAACCTGCATTATGAACAGTTGGATGTATGTATAAAATGAATGTTTATATTCGGTAATAGAAATTCAGCTGTATTGATAGCTTAGTTCATAGGTTATGTATTTTGTTATTGTGAATTCAATGATGCCTTATTTGTGGTAGATAGCAATCCTGTATGTTAAATCTGAGTAATGAATAGAAGTAACCTTTTTGTGTTTTCCAAATTAACTCAATATGGGTTTTGTCAAACATTTTCTGTTTAAATATTTTAATGTGTTTATTACATATGTACATTTTATATTATAGATATTGCTGATAGAAGACCAGTTGCGAAAAGTGAGCAGCCACCAATTGTTCAAGAAAATATTCTTCCAGAAACTGTTGCAGGCCAAGGCAAACTTAAAAACTTTTCTTGCATTTTAAGGGGGGCATGCAAAAGGAAAAATTTTGTAGGCTCTCACCTACCAAAGTACGATAAACTGTCAACTCGAGCTGTTGAACAAGATTTAAATGCATTAACTTTAACCAAAGATACTCCGTGCTTATCAGGAAGTGTGCCGAAGATTGAGACTCCTCATCTGAGTCAGGAAGAAGTACAAATAGGAAAATCCTTGTTTGCTTCTATTTCACAGTCAGAAAGAAACCTTCAAAGGACTGAGCGTATAAGAAAAAACAGAGCTGAAAGCAACCCTAGCAGTAGCGGCACAAGTAGCTTTGAGAAAGTGAAAAACAGAGTGGAAAGTGAGCCAAAGTCTATAAACGAGCAAGTTAAGCCTAGTAAGACTAAGACCACGGGGTCGTGTACTAGCAGCCGGTATGTATCTCTTGTATTTGCCTCATGTTTGAAGTTTAAAATATTGTATATTAGAGAATACTTAAGATCTCTGATTCAAGTAGAAATGTGACAGAATTTGATGCTCTTCCAAATTTTATTTATTCTTGATTTTTGTCATTTTGGTACCAGTTTTTTTAAGTGGTACAAATATTTGTCCTTATGAGCTATACATTCCTGTAGCTTTACCAAAAGTTTATCAGAAAATGCTTAGCTGTTGCTACTATTGCTGTTGTGATATCAGTAAGAAAAGCATCTTTAACTTCAGATGCCTGGAACCTGTGTTCAAAGAATTAAGCTTTTAGATGTCCTTTAAAAATGGGAGTAGTTCTGATATTGCATGGCTAACTATACCTCTGATAATTTTGTTTGGTAAATAGTCTTCAGGATGGTCTACCTCATGAATGAGAACAGTATTAACCACTTGCGCTACGACTAAACTTCACGGTTGCGGTGCCGTGCGCTACAATATAACAAGCGGTATAGTGTCTCATTTACACCGCTCCACGTCTGCGAGTGCTATCCGGAGCTGTAACTCAAGAAATAAACAATCTCGTTGTTAGGCGACATGTGCACCACGTTATTTTCATTTTTCTGCGTGGTTTGAGACAAAAGCATTTCAACGTGTGTGGCACATCTTTTTAGTGCAAGTTGTTAAAAGTAAGAGGTGATAGAAGGTAAGTATTTTTGTTTGATGTCAAAGTTTAATTTGGAATAGGATGCAAATTTTCAATTTTATTCCAGTTTTAAATTGTAGAGATGTTTGTGCTGGATCCTGTACATTGTTTTAATTTCCTTTTAAAATTTTCAGAAGTGTGTCAAAAAATTATGCTGGCCGTTAATTTTGTCATCTTGATATCATGAAAAATTTCTGCACGTAAGCTAATATTTCCAATGCTGCTCGGCAATCTGACAAACGTGTGTGTATGTTTTCATGTTTAAAGTCGGTGGCACAGGGAAAAAATTGTGTTTTAGACAAAATCACAAGAATTTGCTCAATTTTTTAAACATCAGATCACTTTTAACAATATGAAGTTAATAAATAAGATATTAACTAGAGTCCTTTGTTTAAAATGGGGTAAAAAATGCAGTTCTTCATGTATTCTCATTCTTTAAAGCAGGTTTAGCTTAAGATTCTACTCTGCTGCTGCAGTCTTGCACTCTTTTAAAATTCGTACTGCTTTTTATTAGCATATACACAGGGGGTTGGACAAAAATATGGAAACGCGGAAATAAAAAAAATATATTGCTATGACTAATGCAAAGTGTAGGAAAACTGTTGGCAATCAAAACAGCTTGCAGTCTTTTCGGAATGGATAAATAAAGATCCTTTTTTGTTTGCCAGGGAATCTAGTACCATTGTAAAATGTTAGCAAGTTCAGTTAACTATGATGGCAGTGAATAGTGCTTATACAGATTTTGTTCCAAAATAACCCACGATAATAATATTGATATATCTGGTGATTATGGTGTCCATGGTAGATGTGAAAGGTTCACTTTGGTGCTTAGAAAAAGTCTTGAATGATGTGAGTTGAATGAACAGGAGGTCTGTTGTCTTGGAATATGACATCACCAGTGGAGAAAAAATTTGTACCATGGGTTGGATGTGATCAGCTAGAATGGTCATATAATCCTTGGCAGTAATGATGGGTTCCATAGAATGTCACAATATGGCTGCTCAAACCATGACTAAACCCCCCATCATGTTTCACTTTTGGTAGCAAACAGTTGCTATCATATGCTTGGGATGGCATTCGCCAGGTGTAGACTCAGCCAAAAGGTCAGAAACAATGTGAAACAAGACTCGTCTGATGAAATGACTTGTCTTTCCATCGCTCCAGAGTACATGTCTTATGATTTTAGCTCCATTTCTCCTCTTATAGGCATTTTAATCACTGATCAGTGCCCTTTTTAATTGAAGCTTGCCCCAAAATGCCCTGTTTGTGGTGCTCCCTTTATAGTGCTTTGGTGCCGACAGGATTTGAAAATGCGACGCTCAGATCAGCAGTCACTTTTATGGCTGTACTCCTCGTTTTTTTATCAGTCCTCTTCAATGATCATCTATCATGATCTTTCGACGCACTTTATCATCCGTACTGTGATATAGCAATATATTTTCTTGAATGAATTCAAAATCTTGGATACTGTGCCTCATGAAACACCAAACATTTCAGCTTCTTTGGCTATGGAAGCACCCATCATATGAACTCAAACAATTTTGAATTCATTTAGTTCCAACATGATGTACTCACAACTAGACAGAACAGTGTGTTGATAATGAATGACACTTGCAATGTATTGAGGATGATATACTGGTGCCATTAGTAAGCAAGCACATCAGCACCACCAGCTTTCGCTAGAATAAGCATTTTGTTTCAAGCATGCATTTTCATGAGGTGTTTTCATATTTTGGTCCAACCCCTTATAGATGGCATAGCATTATTATCAAAATATTTCCTTACTGTATTAGTCTGGTGAGCAAAGTGATCATTTAAAAAATTTAAGATAGCTGAGATCACATATTATGCAAACCATGTATTTTAAGTTGATAATGCACATGTATTTTATACTGAAGTACGTTTTCTGTAAATCTATATTTAAATTTTACTTGATTTTGCTTGTAATCCATGTAATTGTATGGTCAAATATGAAGCAGTAAATCTTGTCCTTTTTCATGTTCTGTAGCAGTTTTAATTAGACATTTTGAAAGTATGAGAAGTTATGACTATCTTTTAGAATGATGTATTTTATAGTTCCGCCGATATTATCAGTTTGTTTTTGCTGACATCAGATTAGAGGGCTTTGAAGTCTAACTTGTCGACTTCTACGATGGTAGGCTCAGTACCAGTACTTGCCCTTAACACTTCGACTAGAATTATAATTGCTTCTTTGATATAATTAAGTCATGAAAGAGGCAGCTCAAATTACTCTTTCTTCATTTTATGTATTATTTCTTCTTCCACTAGTATGTTATTGTCTAACTGCTGAATTCCTGGTCTTCTAAATAATACTAATTGACCAAGACAGCTTGTTGTCCGACTCATAATCATCTGCTTGGTGTACACTATACACCTACCTTTCTTAGTGCATTGTATTAGGCTACTATTTCTTGTTCATCTTTTTCATACTGCTTCACCTTCTGTATTACCTTCTTGTGTATTGCTAGTTGACTTTCATCATTGGTGATGCAGATGCTCTGTGATTTGGCACAACTCTTTTTAATTGCAGAAGCTTTTAAAATTCCACATACATCCAAGTTAACTTCATTTTAAGGAATGCTCTTGGAACAATTTTTTTTTTTTTTTGACAGCTTGAAATCTTTGTAGCAAGTGACTCTTTGCCATTCTGTTTTCTCCTGCATCAGGCTATCTACATTTGGCTGCTTATTAAAATACATTGTGAAAACCTACAGTGTCTTGCAGGTAATGTGTGATTTTGGTTGTGATCCCACCCACTATTTTGATGCCTAACATCAAAGGAACTATATCTACCAACAGGAACTTGGCCTTGCCTTTGCTGGAAGCTTAAAGACTTCTGGATCTTCTTGCCATGAGTCAGCATTTTTGAGATAATTCTGAATTATACCATTTGATAATCATCAGATTGTTTGTGCAATTTCTCTTAATGTTGCCTCATGCATCATATAGCATAGATTATTTTTCGTCATTCTCTGGAAGACTGTTTTCTCTTCAATCACTCTAAAAACCAAAACATTATTTAAAAAAATAATTATTGAAAATTAGGAAATTTAGCTATTAGATTTATTCTTTTTATGTAATTGTAAATACAGCTTTTTATCCATAAAATTATACCTGTGAAAACGTATCGGGCAAAGTTTTTCATATGTTGAATCACATGCAAGTACTCATTTAAATGAAAAAACAAAATTGGTGGTATTGAAGTACGTAAAATCAGGAAAATAAAATCTTTTGAATATTCAATATTCATCTTAGAGCAGCTAATAAAAAATCATTGCAATGTTTGAGATGTTCTAATACAGTTTATCCGATAATTTTATGTTTTGTCAGAGATATTGAGCTCTGAAAATAAATTTCTTAATAATGTAGGAAAATTTAATCTATTTTAAATGAAGAATGTTTTTACTTTTAAGAAGTCGAATACAGAGCCAAGAACATTGTTTATATGTATTTTATTTCTGAAATAACAAGAGAATCTTGACTACTGTTCCCATTCACTTGGAAATATTATTGTCATTCTGTTTAGAAATAGTTACGTAAATAAAAATTACCTGTTTAACGTCTTTCCTTAATTTTTAATTCTAGAAATTTAAATCAAATTTTCCTTGCAGTGCTTTTATAAGTTTTTTTCTATCCCTCATTTCTGTCTACTACCATTCCCCAAAATGTTATTTTGGCTTTCACCTACTTTTGCCTTAAAATTCCTTTGCTGCTTCTAAAAAATTTTTTTTACTTATTCTGTAACTTTTCAATTAAAATATGATTACCTGCAAATGCTGCTGAAATTGTCGTGGAATTAATTGTTTTAAACACGCCTCTGTCCCATCAGTTTAATGAAACTTTTCCGAAATTTTATGAAGCAATATTTTAGCTGAAATTAGCTTATTTTTAATCATAAAAAGATTTATTTCTATATGTGTAATATTTGATTTCTATAAATAAAGCTTTCTGAAACTTTTATGCTAACATATTGTATGGTCCCATACACAGAAGCAGTTTCATGTTAAGTTGCATCATTTCAAACTTGATTTCAGCTGCTACTGCAAATAGTATCCTTTGCATTGCTTACAACAGAATTTTTTTTAATAAGTGTTTAAGAATAATTTCTTTTTATGCTAATGAAGAGCTCATAAACAACTTTTCCTTTTTGGGGATTTTAATTGTTTTACTGACATTATTTTCCATTTGACATTTTGACTTTGGAATATTTTGAATCTAAGTAAGATAATAAATCCTATAAAGCACAATTTCTGAAAAATCTCTTAGCAAATGCAAAACAGCTAT